GCAGCCGCCGCAGCCGCCGCAGCCGCCGCAGCCGCCGCAGCCGCCGCCGAAGATCAGTTCCTGCCGCCACCGCAGAGGAGTCGGTTCCTGCCTCCGCTGCAGCTCTCCAGGCTCCCACGCCGTCTGCTGCAGAGCTCCAGGCCTCTCCGTCGTCTGCTGCAGAGCCACAGGTCCCTCCGTCGTCTGCTGCAGAGCCCCAGGCCTCTCCGTCGTCAGCAGCAGCAACTCCCCAGGCCTCTCCGCCGACAGCAGCAGCAACTCCCCTGGCCTCTCCGCCGACAGCAGCAGCAACTCCTCTGGCCTCTCTGCCGACAGCAGCAGCAACTCCCAAGGTCCCCTCGTCGCCTGCTGCCAACTCCCAGGTCCCCTCGTCACCTGCTGCCAACTCCCAGGTCCCATCGTCGCCTGCTGCCAACTCCAAGGTCCCCTCGTCGCCTGCTGTCAACTCCCAGGTCCCCTCGTCGCCTGCTGCCAACTCCAGGGTCCCCTCGTCGTCCGTTGCAGCTCTCCAGGTTCCCACGCCGTCCGCTGCAGCTCTTCAGGTTCCCACGCCGTCCGCTGCAGCTCCCCTGGACTCAATGTCGCACGCTGCAGTTCTCCAGGTCCCCACGTCATCTGCGGCTCCCTCCAAGTCACCAGAGGGGTCGATGTTCTCCAAGTCTCCAGAGGGGTCGACGCTCTCCAAGTCTCCAGAGGGGTCAACGCTCTCCAAGTCTCCAGAGGGGTCGACGCTCTCCAAGTCTCCAGAGGGGTCGACGCTCTCCGCATCTCCAGAGGGGTCGACGCTCTCCGCATCTCCAGAGGGGTCGGCGCTCTCCGCATCTCCAGAGGGGTCGGCGCTCTCCGCATCTCCAGAGGGGTCGGCACTCTCCGCATTTCCAGAGGGGTCGGCGCTCTCCGCATCTCCAGAGGGGTCGGCGCTCTCCACATCTCCAGAAGGGTTGCCTCCATGGTCGTCGCACGCTGCAGTTCTCCAGAGCCCCAAGTCCTCTTCTCCGCCAGCTGTGGACTCCAAGCCCTCTTCGCCGCCAGCTGTGGACTCCAAGCCCTCTTCGCCGCCAGCTGTGGACTCCAAGCCCTCTTCGCCACCAGCTGTGGTCTCCGGGGTCTCTTCGCCGCCAGACGCGGTCTCCGGGATCTCTTCGCTGCCAGACGCGGCTCCCAAGGCCTCTTCGCCGCCAGACACGGCTCCCAAGGCCTCTTTGCCGCCAGACGCGGCTCCCAAGGCCTCTTCGCCGCCAGACGCGGCCTCCTCGTCCTCTTCGCCCTCTTCGCCGCCAGACGCGGCCTCCTCGTCCTCTTCGCCGCCAGACGCGGCCTCCTCGTCCTCTTCGCCGCCAGCCGAGGCCTCCTCGCCGTCATCGCCGCCAGCCGCGGCCTCCAAGTCGTCATCGCCGCCAGCCGCGGCCTCCAAGTCGTCATCGCCGCCTGCCGCGGCCTCCAAGTCGTCATCGCCGCCTGCCGCGGCCTCCAAGTCGTCATCGCTGCCTGCCGCGGCCTCCAAGGTGTCATCGCCGCCTGCCGCGGCCTCCAAGGTGTCATCGCCGCCTGCCGCGGCCTCAAAGGTCCTACGTGTTGGACGGCCTCCAGGCCGCCCCCCTGAACGTGGGTCCCGTGATGGACGGCCTCCCGGCCG